CCCCCCCAATAGCTGTGTTCCCTTTTTTTACTGAATTAAGATTACTTATTTATAATCTCTATGGGCCTAAAGGCATCTTATTCAAATCATCATTTAACTTGAAATAAAGGGATCTACCTCAATTGATTTAGCCAGAGGGCCAACCCCATACCTGGATCACTCAAATGGCAAACCTTATACACAATAAACAATGTATTAGCAAACTAAATGGTGTTATTGGCTGAAGAAGAATAAATTAGAGTCTCAATTGTCTGTCTGCATCCTTTTAAAAGTTCAATATTTTTAACCTTACATTAATGATAATGATTATTCAATTAAAGTCAACAATTTCTTTTTCATCCTGAGAACATCCAGTTTCAGTCCTCCTGAACTTGTTTGACACTCCTTGGCAGTGATATTTCTGTAGAATTGCCATTATTTTATTCCAGATATGAACTCACAGGCCCTATAAATTAAGATTAAATACATAGTGCCATTAATTTACAAAATGGACCTTTGCAATGTTTATGCATGCACTAGTCAATTGAAACCCCCAACCCCCGGGACAGAGTGGGGAATTAACTGGGGAATGGCCGTGGATTAACACGGTCTTAATGCAGATTTCCCCCGGGGTACAGGGTAAATAACAAGTCAATTTATTAGCCAGGACAATTCCCAAGTCATTAAAATTTCCCAAGTCATGAAAATTTGCAAAGTGCTGGGGCCATAGGGACAGCAATTTTAACAGTCAATATTCTCCTGGTAGCAGGGAAATGTCCAAAATTTAACATTGTCAAAATGTTAATTTCCCCTCCCTATCCCGGGGGTTGGGGTTTCAATTGACTAGTGCATTATGGTGGGATGCAGCCCCAATTGTATGTTTCCCACCATATTTTACATGGCTCATGCCATATAACTTCAGTACATGGTCATTTTTGGATCCATGCCTGGGACATATCATAATCTTGAATCTAATTTGGGTATTCAATCATGTTTAATAGACATAGGCAGTCCACATATGGACTGCATGGTCATGCTATGTCTAAGTGCATGGCTATTGCCAAAATAGCCTCCATCTACACAGACCACAACAAAGGTATCAAAATTACTTACCAAGTGATCACCCCTTGTATATAATTTGTCTGACATATTCATAAATCTTTATTTTTATACTTAAGTTTACACTACAAAAAGGATAAAAATGAGACAATAATTACATTTGAGCATAATAATGGTCATAATTATCCCCCATAGCCATGTGATAAAATCATAGCTACCTCCATACCTTCCATGACAATTATAGTCACAGCTGCTTAATTAACCAGGAAATAAAAGGAAATATGAGAAATGGCTAATTATTTAACTGTATGCACTCTTACCTACCTACCTATAATCTATCCATCACATATTATATGCAGTAAATACATCATTCTTGGTGTGTAAACTGATCAAGTATTTGGTTGACCTTGTTAAAACACAATAGGAATTGTTTATATATAGCAGTGATCAAACTTAAATTAATTACAAACAACAATAGGGACGGAAGGAGTGGAGGACATGATATGAAAGCGTTTTTGACATATTCAAATTTCAAAGTTAAAAGACTCTGACAGAAATTTAGAGTGTAATTGGAAAAATTTAAACAATATTTTGAGAATTAAATGTTTTGTTTATATTACGGCTTTTATTACAGTATGACCGTGGTTTCTTGTTTCATATATACTGAAAATATAGAGAAAAATATCAAAATGCAATGCCTATATAAAAGTACTATAAAGTTTGTGCGTGTGCATTTCTTCGTCGTGCACTATGAAAATGACTAAAATCAAAAGGTCGGGTTGTTTTAAGCTTTTACAACTAACCTTACCTCATAACAAGACACTTACCAAGTTTTTTTCTTCGGTATTTTCCCCTCAATCTTCAGAAAAACCACAAAGTTTAAGTGACATTTATTTTGCTGTAAAAGCCCGTTTGATTTCTTGCTCTCGTGATATTCGTCGCATTCGTCCGTTTTGCATCCCAGCGATTTCGAAACAACCAATAAAAACAAGTTTTCGTGTTGTTCAAATCATTATTTTACCGTCTATTTATAACAATGCTGTTCACGGTTGTTCGAACAACTAAAAACAACTTGTTCTTTCATCAATGTTGTTCACGCCTGTTCGAACAATATTGTTGACGCCTGATGAATGAACAACGCTGAACAACATTGTTCTGACAACATTTATCAAGCATGTTTCATCAACCTTGTCGGACGCTTGTTCCATCATGTTGCAACAACCACTGTTCGTTCATCAAGCGTGAACAAGTTGTTGGAACAATGTTGTTAACGATTGTCGCTTGAACAACGTTGTTCAGCCATGATAACCTCATTGTTGCAACGTTGTTCAGCGAACAATGTTGCAACAACCTGATCAATTTTTACGCGTGTATACAATGACAGCGCTGACCTTGTCGACAAGGTAAATATAATGATCGACTAATGACTGCGCTGACCTTGTCGACAAGGTAAATATAAGGACTATAATGACTACGCTGACCTTGTCGACAAGGTAAACGCAAATGGTTGATACAATGCAAAACAAACTTAAATATTCATGCATTGGCGTGAATATGGACGAAAGGTTGTCTTGGGATAAACATATTGATTCTATCTGTTCTAAGGTTGGTGCTGGTATTGGTGCAATGAGACGGGTTGAGGTACCACTGTCGACAACCAAAATGCTGCATAATGCTATTGTACAGCCTTCTTTAATTTCGATTATTGCAGCCCGTTATGGGATAATTGGGGAATTGGCCTCAAAGATAGGTTGCAAAAATACCAAAATCGTGCTGCAAGAGTAATTACTAGGTCATCTGCGTTACTCGAGAATCTAAATTGGAAACCTCTCGAAGAAAGACGAAACTACCTTAAATCTATTCTCATCCATAAAATTTTGAATGGCCACACCCGGCACCCAATCTTAAAGAAGCATTTCAATTTAATAATGAGATCGACAAAAATGGAGATCGACAAATCTTGCTGCTACCTTATTTGTCGATGATATTCGAAATGATGTTGACAAGGGAAGCCTTGTGGGTGCTGTTATTATAGACCTTAGCAAAGCTTTCGATACGATTAGTCACCACATAGTACTGACTAAACTGCAAGCGTATGGAGTTCAAGGTAAAGAACTGATGTGGTTCACAGATTACCTATTTTGCAGGCAACAATATGTTCAGTTAGGGGTTGATAAGTCATCAAATCAGCCATTACTTTGTGGAGTCCCTCAGGGCTCCATATTGGGGCCTTTGTTATTCACGGTCTTCTATAATGATTTGACAGACTTGAAAATAAACTCGCGAGTTTTACAATATGCTGATGATACCGTTGTGTATTGTCCTGGTAAAGACGTAGAAAGTATTGAAGCTATGCTGTCACAGGACTTGGATTTGATAGCCAACTATTTCGATGGGAATGAACTAATTATCAATTTAAACAAGGGTAAAACTGAGGTGATGCTTTTCGGCACTGCGAAAAGGTTGTCTTTGCAATCTCGGGATATTGATATGAAGTATAAGGGGGAGTCATTGAAGACAACTACGTCCTACAAGTATCTGGGATATGCCCTGGACCCTAGCTTGACACTTTGAATACGCTTATAAGAAGGCAAGCAATCGCCTACGACTATTATCTAAACTGAGGGATTATGTAACCTCTGATGTTGCCAATAGGCCTACTCTGGGACCTTAACTCGCCCTAACTCGCCTTAACTCGCAAGGGTCAGTAGCAAGATTTTTCCTTAACTCGCCTTATCTCGCCTTAACTCGCATAGGCTCGCCTTATCTCGTGGCGAGTTAAGGTCCCAGACCTTAACTCGCCCTAACTCGCCTTAACTCGCCTTAACTCGCGTTAACTCGCCTTAACTCGCCTTAACTCGCCTTAACTCGCAAGGGTCAGTAGCCAGATTTTTCCTTAACTCGCCTTATCTCGCCTTAACTCGCATAGGCTCGCCTTATCTCGCGGCGAGTTAAGGTCCCAGAGTAGGCCTGCCAATAAGATATATCAAATGATGATTGTCCCTATTGTAACCTACAGTGGGACAATAAAGCTATTGTACACAAGAACACAGCTAGAGAAATTAGGCAGCATTGAAAAGCGAGCTAAAGAAATTATTGGATCGGAAATAAGCATACCGTCGACGTATCTGCATAAGTTAATGAAAATGAAAGCTTGTATGATTGTAAAAAAATGTCTGGTAAACGACATATGTAGTAACTTCTGTGGATATTTTCAAGTTAATAACCATGATAAAGGCACGCGAAATAGTGCTATCCTAGTAAAGCTGCCAAAGGTAAAACTTGAGTTCAATAGGCAAGCCTTTCGATTTGCGGGTGCTAAAATATATAACGAGCTCCCAATTGAAGTAAGGAACGTTGTAGACGTTAAATCTTTTAACCGTGCGTTGGTAAAACATTTTAGTCAAACATTTTAGTTAGCTTTAGATAGATGTGTAGTTTTTAATATAGAACTGGTGCTACGTAGGTTTAAATTGTATTATTCTAAGGATTTTTAGATTGTTAGTACAAAGAGGACGCATGTTGATAACAGTAGTATTACTGAAATGCTTATCCTCTGTAAATATTCTTAAATAAATATTCTTAAATAAATACATACAATCTCAGAAATAGGGATACAGATTAATTAGCACCACCTATGCCGAAAAAAGAATTCGGCAAGAGGTGCTTCAGTTATAACCGTGCCTTGCATTGGAATAATCTTCCCCATGAGGCAAAAATTGCTGAATCCTAAGCTCTTTCAAATCGATATTAAAACAAAGAATGCGTTAAACTTGAAACTTGCTTGTGTATGATCGTGCATTAAAAATCACCGTATTTTCTTGTCCCCTTTCCTGCAATTTAGTCTCATTTTATCTTTTTTTTTATATTTCTTTATTGCTTGTAAATGGTTAATTTTATATTTCACGCCCCTCATGGAAATCAGCCTCCCAACGGTTGTTGAGGCTAGCGTGGTTAAATAAAGTTTGTATGTATATGTATGTATGTATGTACTATATCTTGGGCATGCTACATGTAGGCCATTTAGGCAGCGTTTACACTGTACCGTTTTCGTAGCGTTCTCGTATTGTTCTTAATCCTCAAGGGAACGCAAGACAATAGTCTAGTTCTCTCAAACAATACGAGAACGCTACGAAATCGTTCCAGTGTAAACGCTGCCTTAAAATCATATACAGTAATATTATAAGTATGTAGCTAACATTTTTTATCTTCTTTTACAAATATATCTCATCTACATATGTTAATTACAGTAGGGTAGCTGTATATAATATTTCTGTTATTGCAGTAATTTGTTTAAGTTTCCCTGTATTGCTTTTAAGTTTCTGTAAAGTTTGCAAATGAAATTTCGAATACACAATGATATGCGGCTTTTATAGTGATCACTCATGGAAGCTATTGTTTCTAGTTTAACAGCTTATTTTGGTGTTTTGAATATCTTGGCTCCGAAAGAAGGCCAGACACTCTATGTAAACAGTGCAGCTGGAGCAGTTGGCGCTATTGTTGGTCAAATTGCCAAAATTAAAGGATGTCGAGTTGTTGGCAGCGCAGGCTCAGATGAAAAAGTTGCGTATTGTAAAAGTCTGGGATTTGATGAAGTGTTTAATTATAAGACCGTTACATCTGTTGAAGATGCATTGAAGGAAGCTTGTCCGAATGGAATTGACATGTTCTTTGAAAACGTATGTTTAATCTTCATTGATATAGAATACATACATTTATTACTTTTATCTTTGTGACAAATTGTCGTTCGTCATGCAGTAAATTCAAATCGTTACTAAACGTTGTTCCCATGCAGTACTTTCCATATAGGCGCGCCCCAGAAAATAACAAAATTTGTGTAATTAATCTACATTAATACAATACATGCACTGAAAACGTGTCCTACTAATCTATATATTTTAAATCTTTCAGGTCGGTGGTCCAGGGTTTTCAAAAGTAATCAAGCTAATGAATAGAGATGGTCGTGTTGCAGTTTGTGGTGCTATTGCAACATACAATGCAAAAGAACCTGCAATGCGTATGTAATTGCATTAATAACTTTTTATTTTTTGCATACAAAGTTGTACGTACAATTTGTAAAAATCTAATTGTTGGAATAAGTACAGAATTTTTTCTGATAACAATATAACTTTTTTAATACAGTTGAAGATTTTCTGGGGAACGTAATTCGAAATCGACTCAAAATACAAGGATTCACCGTGGCCCTGTATGAATTCGAATATCCAGTGGGCAGGAAAGAACTCGTGCAATGGATCAAAGAGGTAAAGAAAAAGTCCGTGTTTGAACACAAATTGATGGTATATACGTGCCAACACTGTCCAGAATTTTCGACATATCTTTTTCGTTCTTTTCATTAGTAGCTAGGTTTACCTTTAAACGGATGACATTACTGAAGGTGTAGAGGAACATCAATTGCCCTAGTGCATATCATCGCGTAGAAATAGTGGTATTTGTACTTCATCTTCACTACGCTAGTCATTATTAATCCATCTCAAGTTTCATTACTAACCCATCTCAGTCCTTGGACTGGATCAAAATTAATTCACCTCGCTTTAAGTAGTGATTCATTCGTATGAGAAGTCATTTCGATCAAATCCTACAAATCGAACTGGTCTAAATTTCAAGTCCTCACATGTTGATCAAATTGCGCGGACCTGAAATCGTGTCCAGTCTTCATAGTTGGATTTGAAATGTTACATATAATTGAGGATACTAGTATGTGGTAAGCAAGTCAAATGCAACAATATGTAGAATTTCGCCTGCCATTTTAAGTTTCACTTGGCAGTTCAAATTATTTTCACCTCAGCCATTTCTAGCCATATGGCCTGCTTTTGGCCGTTGGCAAGCTGCTATTTCTAGACGATAATTACGATATGATTTTTAAGTATATAGCCTAGCTTAATACCGTCATCAGTTAGAGCTAATATATACTCTGAAATTATTCTAGTGATAGAAAAGGTAAAATAAAACCATTTTTGCGACATAAACTGTAACACATATATTTTTGTTCCGTTTTAGGGTAAAATAAAGATAAAGGAACACATCACAAATGGCTTTGAAAATCTTCCAAAGGCATTGATTGAATTGTTTACCGGAAGCAACTTTGGAAAAGCCGTTGTAATAGTTTCAAGTTCATAGATCTCGTTA